TGACGCTTTCCGTCGCGCCCGTCACGAAGGCAGTGGCCCGACCGAGGGAGCGGAATTTGGAGCTGCATCTCCCCGGTCGAAGAGAAAGTGATCTCTCTCGCTTCGACAAGTCTTGCGCTTTTTTTAAATTGTTATTATCTGCCGACAAGCTTAGAATTTTAGGCACTAAGGTGCATAGTCAATTTTTGCGTTATGTAACCAGCGTCAGTAAGAAGCGACCGCCGTGGAATTTAGGAAAACGACCTCGCGACAGTGGAGAGAAAGCCCGAAACACACGAATCAAAAGTCATGTATCGAGTCTCGCGTTGAGTATTGTCATAATAGCAGATACCGATCCTCCAACTTTACAGAACCGAGGTCATGGGGAAGCCCCGATAAGGTCCAGATAGAGGGAGCGCGGCAGTGCGACCGGACGCCGGATGACATTGCCACCATCACCGAGAGTCCAAAAAGATGGTCGGTGTGGCCTTGGCCTGGCCAGCCGGGCAGATCGAACCGGAGGACAGCAAACATTTATATTATTTTCAGAGAAATTCATCATTGTTTCGAAGTATCGGCTGTGGGCGAGCACAAAGACAAGAATAAACAATTGACGAGGTTGGACCCATACAGCAAGGAATATGCTAGAAATGTGCTATAAACATTCTATGAATATTCTAATATTCCACGGGTTATTCGGAATATTCTATAAAAGTTTTATGAATATTTCATGAAATTTTGTTTATTCGGAATATGCATAGAATATTCTATAAATATTCTAAGAAATGTAGTATATTTAGAAAATGCTTAGAATGTTCTATAAATATTCTGATAATTATAGAATATTTGGAATATTCATAGAATATTCTACAAATATTTTAAGAATATTTATAGAATGTTTTATGGATATTCTGAGAAACTTTTCTAGAACTTGCTATGAATATTTTGAGAATATTTTATGAATATTCCAATCAATATAAAATATTTAGAATGTTTATCAGAATATCAAAATATTTATAGAATGCTTTTTAGATTAGTTTTTTTAGATTTTTTGTAATTTATCGATTTTTTTCCAAGTACTTTTTACGCATTTAGCAAGGTCATAGCGGGGAATGCGTGCCTGTTATCGAATCGCCGTACATTTATAGATATTGTGCTGACGATAACTGGTGCGAATGGAAAGAGGACTCTTGTAAACGTAGTTCCTTGAGAAATTCCAAAGGCGTGATAGTCAAACGACGTTCTTGCAAGCGTGGGACTGACAGAAGAACGAATTGCATAAGAATATATTATGACGTGGTTTTGTGCAATGATTCTTTACCCAGTAGAAAGTCTGCTGAGAATGACAAGTGCATAACAACCCACGACTTTATTTCCAAAAAGTTACGAATTTAGTACCATCATATCGGAAGTGTTGGTGCTGGCAGGAATGCAGGGTAATTATTATAACGATAGACCCTGGATAGCTTGTAATATATTTTGTCATCGAGAGATTGCCATTCCTTATGACTTTTTAAATATTTACACATCACCCAGTAAAATAATCGCTTTTGGCATGGATCCATACTTATCAGATGGACCATGGTGCGTGCCACTGGGAATGTAACCAGAATTATTATTGTCGTAAGCATTACTGTCTGCCGCAAAACTACACATTCGGAAAAAAATTTTCAACTAATTTATATCTAAACGAGGATATGGAAGAATTGTGATTGCAAAACATGCGTAATCAATTTATAACCATTAGTTACTTTGTCGAGTTTCGAACGTTTATCTCATTGTCAGACGTATTACTTTTGCTTATTTTTATTTTACACGGCATTCATTACACATTCGACGTAGATGAATGGACCGAAGATTGTGCCAAAAATAACATTTAATCTACTGTTACTAAGACTAATTAATAAAATTTATTTTATTAAAAAAATGGAAAAATTATTAATTTACATAGAAAAATTGATTTACAAAAAGGAAAATTTGGTTGATGATTATGTAAACGCATTTTTATTCTGTATGAGATGTTTTGAGGTTTTAAAGTAGGCAAATGAGGAGTATACATTTAGGCAAGTATGATGACACAGAAATTCATGAACTGAGATTCCATTGTAACGATCCATTTTTTGGGAGACGTAGTTTTATTAAAATATCATAACAAAATTATATGAAAGATGTGTAGATACGACATCAAGTAAAAGTATTTCCAAATACATCATGTGCAAAATAAAGTACTGAACAGAGTTTACAAATTGTTATTGAAAAAGAATATTTATAACTGAATGAACAATTGCTTGTTAACATCTTAATGTTAAAGTATTTTAATTATTTTGTCCACGATGCAACAATTGCGTTCCATTCGATCGAATGCATTACGGAGCCGTATTTGTGGACGAAATCTTGATCATATTTTCTCAAAAGATATCTTCAAGTTGTTTTTGATGGCTCTAGCTTGAGACTAATAAAAAAATTCTCGCGATCTTCTCTATATCGCGCTTTCAGAAGAAATTCGTACGCGAACGAATTTAACGGAAAATTATAGCCCTGCGCGTATCTTTGACAGTCTGTTAACCACGTCGCAACATCGATAATGTGTTTCCTCTTTGAGTCTATATTTTTCGATTTTTCTTCGATCTGTGCGTGTATCTTTGATTCCAGTATGATCATGTGCCAACGATGGAAATATTTGCGTACCAAGTATCGTTGTCTGCATGTCCAAACATCTTTCTCAATTTTATTAATAATCTTTTGATGCGTGGAGAACTTTACTCTGTCTAGTGCTGCTGTGAAAATACGTCTAGCTAAACATTGTTTGGGTTTTATTAAATTTTCTCTATTTCTGAAGTAAAGGTTATTATAATTGTTGTTAATAGATAAGGATTTTGAAGTCGTAGCAATTTGCACTGGTTGTTTTTTTATAGAAGACATTGCAAAGCTCTCTTGAATATTCCTCAAGCTATTTAATCCGAGGACTTTGATCAGAAAATGACCAACATATGGCATGCAAGGTGGATTATGTTTTGCTGTGGTCCAAGCTCTTTCATACTTAGAGCAGCGTGGGCTTTTGTATATCTTGGATAATTTTTCCATCGACTCGTATCTACCATACAAACAAAAAGTGTATAATGGAAATTGTAACGCTTAGACATACTATTCCAGAAAAAATAAGGAACTCTTTTTTAGACGCTCAAAATTGAGTAATTTTAAAACTGCTAAAACTCGGCGAGAAAATTAAAAAAGCGCTAAAAATTTCAAAGCTTAAAGTTTGCACTTTTCTATGCTTTAGCTCATTTTCTTTGAAAATTTTCTTTGCAGCTGTGAGCTCGAAAAAAAAGTATTATTTTGTTCTTAATTACGTGTTTTTAACATTTTGCAGTTTAATAAAAGAATTTGTCTCGTAAAATTATGACAAGTATCAAAAACTACAACATTTTGTCTACAAAAAAACGTAATTTTTAAAATCTTGCTACAATTTTTTGAACCGAGTTACAAAACCTTGAAATCAATCCTACATTTTGTGAAAAATAATGTTTAATTTTAATTAGAGTTTAGTTTTAAAATTACGTAAATTGGCCAAAAAGTAGTCGTAGCGAAATTTTAAAACACACGTTTTGTAGGTAAAATGTTGTAGCTCTTGGCAATTGTCATAAGTTTTTCGATAAATTTTTGTCAAAATTGTAATTATTAGCGCGAACTACTTGCATGGCTCGATATCCTTTTTGTTTTTATATTTATTATTTTACTCGATCCATTAATACCTGACAGCATGATGAGTCCTTAAGTAAGACCAGCTTCTCCGAAGCCTGTAGATTGGCAGTGCCTGCAGTCCTGCTAGGATGGATCTGCAAGACTGAAAATTGCCGAGCGTGAAACATTTGTCAGCCGCATTGATGAATCTTGCCATGATTCTAGTCCTCATGTCAATCTGCTTGATTGCGAGGATCTCGCTGACAGTCAAACAAGCGATCCGGTGACTGAAGGCGATCCACGCGCCCAGATTCGGTGAGTTGCGCGATGATCTCTGATACACCAGCACTTCGATTTCGGTCGCCGGTATGCGAACGAAGAGATCGCGATCGATCATCGTCAGTTGCGTGGCCAGTGTGGTGCTATCCAGGTCCCATATGGTGATGCGAAGGTTCATTCGTAACAATCTCCGCAATTGCGCCGTACTTCTGTCGATATCCATCTTTTTAATCGTCTTTTTGTTCCGTTTGCGGCCGCCATTTATGGAGAGCATACGTTCCAAGAGACTGCTGGATCTTCCCGTGATTGTGATTTCAGATTTGCCATTCTCGCCCGAGATATGATTCATTCGTTTGCAGAAGAACTTCTTTTTCGTATGCCTCTCCTTTTCACATCGAAAGTTCTTAAGAGCCGCCAAGTGATGTCTCAGTTCTCTGTTGTGTGAACATTTAAAGACTTTCGAGTACAAGCACTTTATTTTATATACTATTATTTAATAAAAAACTTATTTTTGCATTTTTTTTAAAATTATTTTACAAATGCAAGCTAAATTGGATAAAATGTAATTTTTTTAATTTTGCTAAAGTTACTGTCTGAGCTAAATTTTAGTCTTAAGGTGATCCTAAAGTGGTCTGTTTTACCT